GCGCGATCCAGCCGAGTGGAGACACCTGCCTGTGCTGGTCTTTTGTCACCTAGGGACGATGAGATGTGATCTGAGCAGAGACTCCCACTGGTCCCTAGCTCTCGAGGACCTGAGGGTGAATGCGCAGTGCAGGTGTAGAAAGGAGTCTAGGAAGGGGGAACAAGTGGGTCAGGATTTCCCTTTCGCCTGACTCTGTCTCCTCCCACCCCACGCTCACCCTTTCGCACCCTTCTCAGCCCTCAAACTCCCAGGTCCCGTCCCTGGCATCTCTCTGGCCAGTCTGGAACATTCGAATGAGTTCTGAGGCCCCCCCCCTCCAGGGGGACAATAAAAAAAGGGCTTTATCAAACACTGTTACAAAGCACTGCCAAAAGAAGATGCCAGAGCACAGCATTTAGTAAACTTTTCTCTTCAGTTCAAATTCATTTAAAAGGTGACCTTGCGTTCATGGTTTTGGGTGTCTAGTGGACGAAACGCCTAAATAATACATGTGTTTTTCCAGCAAGCCTGTGCAGAAAGCTTTATATGTTATTTTTTTTAAAGTGGTTATGGGCATCGTTTAACTTTGAAATGCCATCACAGGAGGATTTCTAATGAAGTTGAAATTGTGCTTTTTCAGTTAGGAAGGACCAATAATTGACATACCACGAGAACACGGGAGATACAGTTCCTGCGGTGATGGTGCACACATCATTTGACATTCCGCTGAACATGCTCAGTGCGGCTGGCTATAATGGTAGCAGGACAGCTGGGCGGTTAGGGATATCATGTTTGTTTGAATCGTATAATAGATAAGAGTTTTTTTGATTAAAGTCAATAAGTGTTTATAAACAATCTGGGAGTGCTGGAGTGTGATGAGAATCCAGGTATTTTTTAATGAAATAATTAATTATATTATTAAGAAATTTATAAATAAATAATAATTATTTATTAATTAATAAACTATTTTTTAAAGGTTTTTTCCTTTTTTTTAATTGAAGGATTCATTGAGGCAAATATTTTGGTTACATGTTTATGACTTTGGGCCTCACCCAAGGGCGAGGGTGTAGAGGCATGCCCTTCCCCCATACAATCTGGTACCGTATGCTCCTTAGTTGTGAATTTACTCCCCCAATTCCCTAAACCTGGAAAATATCACTACCCTGTGAGTGCCATAGTGTTGATCAGTTGGTGCTGATTTATGCGAGTACAAGGGACCCTAATCCTCCGATCTTGTGATACCTCACTTCGGATAATGGGCTCAAGCTCAGTCTAGGAGCATATAGGAGGTGCTAGATCACTGTCATTTCTTTTTCTTTTTTTTTTTTTTTTTTTTTGAGACAGAGTCTCACTTTGTTGCCCAGGCTATAGTGAGTGCCATGGTGTCTGCCTGGCTCACAGCAACCTCAAACTCCTGGGCTCAAGCAATCCTCTTGCCTCAGCCTCCCGAGCAGCTGGGACTACAGCATGTGGCACCATGCATGGCTGATTCTTTTTATATATGTAGATTTTTAGTTGGCAATTATTTCTTTCTATTTTTAGTAGAGACGCGTCTCGCTCTTGCTCAGGCTGGTTTTCGAACTCCTGACCGTTGAGCAATCCGCCTGCCTCGGCTCCCAGAGTTGTCATTTCTTAAACTGAGTAATATTCCATGTTAAATATATACCAAATTAAAAAATGCCACTCATGAATTGACAGGCACTTGGGTTGTTTCCCATATCCTTGCAATAGTGAATTGTGCGTCCATAACTCTTGGGTGCAGATGTCTTATTATAGCATGACTTTTGTTCCTTTGGGTAGGAGTGCCTAATAGTGCTATTGCTGGATCGAATGAATGAACATGTATTGTCTATTTTTAAGCTCTTTGAGCGTATGTCAAAATCTCAAATTCACAGGACTGATTCCATATTAATGTTGCAGTCCCCAGCATTTCGTAAAAGTGTTCCATCTTCCATCCTCACAGCAATTTGTTGTTTTTGGATTTTGATAGAGCAATCTCCCTGGGGTTAGGTGAGTGTTATCTCATTGTGGTTTTGAATTTGCATTTCTCTCATGATTAGAGGATGGTTGAAATTTTTTGCATATATTTGCTGGCCGATTATTCTGTCTTCTTTTGAAAAGTTTTCGTGTTCATGTCGCTGTTGCGGCATTAGTTGAGTTGTTGATTTTTTTTTTGCTGGATTATTTTTTAAGTTCTAGATTAGATTTTTGTTTTATCTCCCTTTATCAGATGTATAGAGAGCACATATTTTTTCCCATCCTTAGCTGTCCTATTTGCTCCAGGCATGATAGTTCCTTGGCTTGCAGAAGCTTTTAATGAGCAGCCCCAGTTTTCTATCTTTTGTTTGCGTGCTGTATTGCTTTTTGGGGGGTCTTCTTCAAATTCTTTGCTAGCCCCAGTATTTTTACAATTTGCTTGCTACTTGACTTCAAGACACACCCATTTCTAAATGAGCTGCTTGCTCCTATAATGAAAACGAAATAGCAGTCTGTGTTTCCTCAGTGATCCATTCGTTTTCGTACATCGGTCTTAGGTGCTTTTAAAAAGTGATATTCGGAAAGTTGCGAGTCCCAAGGATGAGAAAGGCACCTCGTGCCCGGGTGCACGGTGGCACGGTGTGTCTCTGACAGTGCTCCTTGTTCCGCCGTCTTCCCGGCAGTGCCTGCGCAATGGGCAAGTGAGTCGATGCTGGCGCACAGCCCCCCGGGTCCAGGCTGACGGCCCTGGCGCGTGAAAGAGGGACGGCCTGGCCAAGATGTCAGGAGGTCGCCGGAGACAACTTCAAGCTCTGATGGGCCGAGGCCTGGAAGTGGGCGTCTCTGCACGTGGCGACGGCCCCGTCTGCCTGGGGGCGAGCGCAGGTGTTCAAAGGGAGCATCCTCGGTTCGTGCCGGCCTTGGACACGCGTCCCTGGCACCCCCCGCGTGGGTGTGCCCTCCGCTCTCAGGGGCCCCAGGATAGTGACAGCCACGTTCCCCGAGCACAGGACTGACCCCCCGGCGGGTACCTTGTGCAAGGATATGGTAGGATGCATGCTGCTTTTAAGAAAGCCCTGTATTTTGGATGCCGTCTTTTTTTTTTTTGTTTTTTTCAAGATGCTTTATTAAGAAAAAAAAAAAGTTTTTTGCCAAAATAAAACAAAATAATGTGGGTGTTTTAAGCGTGACACTAGTATAGTTTAACTAAGGAACAACAAAAGCTTCTTCCAGAAGTGCCGCTGGAAGCGTAAATTAAAATAGGTGTTTTCCATGGTAACAATGTCGCTGCCGTCTCTGCAAACCAAAAGCCAGTGGTGGGCGTTTACCGTTTTTTGAATTGACTCCTCGTTCGAGTAACACACTCCAGGCCTCCCCACCCCCCTCCATGCCCCGGTATCCTCAGCCCATCAATTCTCGCCATCCCTGAGAGCAGTGGTGAACAATCCACCATGGGCGTGTTATCACAACGCTACCCTGTTCTGTGACCACGTTTAGTGTGCCCGCATGCTTCTGTGCATGGAAAACTCGCTTCAGAGGCTTAACTTTTGCTCCCGTCAAAATGGTAGACTGGTCTGCATGGGTTTTGCTATGGAGAGAGATCGTCAAGCCTTAAAAACACACAGAGAGAACTAAGAGCCCTTATGACCATGTCGAGGTGCCATAAATAAATGAAATAATGTTACTCTGCGACACAGGCTAAATATTGATCCATTCAATATATTCTGGAAGTGGCAAAATAAAATTGGGAAAAAGGAAACATATACAGTACACTGATCTTCATCTAAATTATTGCAAAGAGGAACCGTCGCCACAATGAATTCCTATCATGACTATCTAGAATTCCAGCAACAGAAGAATACTTTGGAAAGAAGTTAGTCACAGCCACACGGTCACCTCAGTCCTTACCTCGTCGCTGCTCCAGCGGTTGGGGAATGAGGGGCGTAACTTCTTGATGCACACGATCTCTCTCATGTCCTCGTAAGAGGGGTCGCTGGGCACGAGGTCATGATAGGGCAGCTGATACTCTTCCACGATACCTAAAAGTATGGTTTTCCCATTAGTCATTATTTTCTGTGAGGTAGAAATAAAAGTCTCACCAATAAACCATTCTCAAAGGAAGGTGCTTTCGATACTAAAGACAAAGCCGGGCGCGGTGGCTCACGCCTGTAAGCCTGGCACTCTGGGAGGCCGAGGCAGGAGGATCGCTCAAGGTCAGGAGTTCGAAACCAGCCTGAGCAAGAGAGAGACCCCGTCTCTACTATAAGTAGAAATTAATGGGCCAACTAAAAAGATATAGAAAAAATTAGCCGGGCATGGTGATGCACCATGCCTGTAGTCCCAGCTACTTGGGAGACTGAGGCAGGAAGATCGCTTGAGGCCAGGAGTTGGAAGTTGCTATGAGCTAGGCTGATGCCAGGGCACTCTAGCCCGGGTGAGAGTGAGAATCTGTCTCAAAAAAATAAAAAAAAATAAAAATTGGGGTCTGTGTTATGTGCTTTCATGTAAACCCAAACCCATAGAGGATCAGAAGGTTCAGAGTTTTCTCAAATATTCCAACTCACCTGCTGTGACCACAGAGCTTAATTCTATGTGTCATGTATGTGAATATTTCCTCCCATTGTGTTTTCTGTCTATGAGATCATAAAATCACAGGCCCCACACAAGGGAGGCACGCTGCTTCATCCCACTTCTTCCTCTCTACTTAATTCTCAAGTCAGTGGCCCTGGAAACGCCTTGAGGGCCGGGACCGTATCTATTTAGTTCATCTTGTATTTTCCTTAGTGCTAACACTGGTGCTGTTACTCGAGAGACAGGTGTATGTGCTACCATATAATTATGAATTGGTCGAATTTTGGCTTTGAACTATAGAACTTACTCCTTTCTCCTTATCATGCAATTGAGTTTTCAAAATGGCCCACGTTAGCTGGCATTTAATTCTGTGTTTGCAACCTCCAAACTGTAGGGGACTGACATATATTTTCCTAGTTTAAGAATTAAAGTTAGTGAGTCATGTACGTGTTCTGTCCAGAGCGTTTGAAAGTAATGTGTTCCAGACAAGATCCTTGTGATAAACAAGGTTGTTGCCTAGAGGCATAACAAAGGACCTGAGTTGCAAGTAAGCAAGAGCTACCCCACCCCGTGGCACTGGTCTGGAGGCCACACGATAAACACATTGTTCCTGTGATTGCTGCATACACCCCATAAGATGGCTGGTTAGTCAATGACGAGTAAGACTTGTCAAGGGGGGGTGACCTAAGCCAGGCGCAGCTGCAGGGGATCAGCCAAAGATCTTAGGGGATCACCCTAAGAAAAGCTGGGGATGAGAAATCCCCCCTGTGACTTGTCTTGCCCATCCTTGCTAATCTCAGTCCATGATCTATGCCTAGCGAATAGAGCAACCACCTGGAAACCTTGAGCCAGGGGATATCTGCTTCCCTAAGGCTACGTATTCCGGAATTTATGGCTATCGCTGCCACGCCTGGGTAGTTATGTACAAGGAACTTTAATCTTTTAGAATATAAAAATAAAACTGACCCAGTGTATTATTACTTGAGTCAACCATTTGTACATGTGTCCACATTTTTCTTTGTGTTCTGTGTTTTCATTTTGTGTTCATCCTCCATCCTGTAAATGGGCTATGACACAAACTGTCTATCTCCCTTTTCCTTCCGGAGATGGAAAGATCTACACCTGGATAGGTCTCCTTCACCCAAAAATGCCTGCGCTAGAAAGATGAGCCCCACCAAGATGTCCAATATCTTCACAAGGAAAAGTGTTAGAGAATTTTGTGTGCTTTGCTTTTCTGGAAAAAGAAAAGAAATCATTTGTGGAGAGCCTATTATATAACAAGCGTGCAGGCATTTTATAAAATTTATCTTACTAAATTCTCACAAACACATGTATGAGACAGCATTATTCTCCACGCTATTCAGATGAGGAAACCTGGCCCTGGTGGCTTTCGTAACTTGCCCAGGGCCCTTCAGTTGGTGTGGGCAGAGCTGGGACTCTGAGGGACAAGGGAACATTGCAGTACCTTCTCGAGTCCCCATTTGCAAAGACAGCCCTCGCAAAGCAATTCACACTCTGCTGTGGACATAGAGCTGTCTTGTTTTTAAGTTGAAAGTCATTTCTCCTGCATGAGACTGACAGGCTTTCTAATATGGGCTTCTTGTAGCCCCATTTGTTTTAAATTTCAGAGAAACATACAATTATAAAAGTAATCTTACACTCTATTAGACCTTCAACATCTATAAACCTATCTTAATTAACCGAAAGCATATTATTCAAAAATCTACTCTTTCTGAAGCATGCAATCAAGGCACATGCAATTCATTTATATTTTGGTTTCTTCTTCTTTTCTTCTTCGTACTTACAATGGGAGAGTCACTCACTCTCTGGTTATAGAACATTTGCTGTGTTGCCTTTCCTTTTGCACAAGAGAGTTCTCCCCTTCAGAGAGAACGTGTTCTATTTCAAATTGCTTATAATAAGGCCCAGAATTCCCAAGGTGATTAAGAAAGCATGTATCACCGAACATGATCTTTCTACCAAAGTGTGAGCATTTGGTGATAACTGTTTCTTCTTTATATTCAAATATGACTCTAAATATGCTATGGCTTTACCAACTGAGATGAAAGTTATTAGTAATAATAGCTAACACGTATTGAGTGTCGTTTATGCGCCGGGTAATTTTGATTCTCTTTACGTTCATGGAAACCACACAACTGTCTGAGGTACATACAGTAATTGGCTTCATTGTTAAGATGAGAACACTGAAATGAAGTTCACTAATTTGCCCAAGGTATCACACATAATAAGTAGCAGGTGAAAGAACAAATATTGCACTAGTTAAGTATATGCTGCACTTTCAGAATCCTGGCCAAGCTCATGCTTTAGGAAGATGAGTTCAAACTGGCCATTATGAGCAACAGCAGCAGCATTGAGGTTTTTTGTTTGTTTGTTTGTTTGTTTAATCAACACAACCATAGGCAGAATAAGATATCAGGGTACTTGATACAGAAAAGCCTAAGACTCAGCTTCTGACCCAAAAGATATTAGAATTTACTGGAAGATGGAATTAGGCTGCAATCGAAATAGTTCATGCAATACTATTTCTGGATGTTTAAAGATGTCTTCTTATTTATTGTAACTGGACTTACTAGGGAATCCTTATGTTTGTAGAAGAATTACCATGCACAGTAACAATATAATATGTTGATGTGCTAATTTCCTTTTGATAAAAAGTTATGTTTTCAATTTGCTTTTGAGGAAGTCTTACAGAAGAAACAGGGGAGAAACATTTACGTCCTAGAGACATCTCTACGGAGGAATGCCGCGTCTACAGCGGGGCATTGGAGCTGGCGATGGGGCACAGCAAGGAGGTGAGGAGAAGCTGGAAGGGGCAGAAAACGGATGCAGCAACTGCTGGATAAAGAGCCCAAGAGTGAAATGAGACAACACACAGAACAGAAGAGGCTGATCTTTGAAAAGGCCAGGGAATCTGGCAGTGTGTCCAAAGAGATTCATCAGTAGTGGGTAGAGAAAGGAAGCAGTCGGATTATTCTATGGTGTAGAATATCATGCCCTGGGAGGACTGTCATTGCATCAACGGAAATAGAGGGGAAAAATTAAAGAAAACCTGATTTTGTAGATAATATGATAACTTTGATTTTGATCAAAGTTATCATAGTAGCTCCAACCGTAGTAGCTTGTAGAACATGGTAGCTCCAGTAGATTTTTCACAGATGTCACCGGTTCTTACCTCCTGATACACATCTCCTAGCGACCTCCCAGAGGATGAGTCCGAAACTGTACATGTCGGCCATGATGTACGACTGGAAGTGATTTCTGTTCAAGCTCTCGTCCAACACTTCCGGGGGCATATAGCGTTTGGTGCCGACTCGAGTGTTGGGGGGTATGTCAACTTCATTTGTGTCACTAAAGAAAAAGTAAAGCAAAGCATTATTAGCACTGAAGAGGACCAACAAATGACAAATCAAGGTGATTCTTTTTGTTTTGTTTTTGTATTTTTTATTTTTTCTTTAATTTTCATTTTTTTCTATTTATTTATTTATTATTTTTTTTTATTTTAGTGTATTATGGAGGTACAAGTGTTAAGGTCACTTATATTGCCCAAGGCCCCCTCGAGTAAGAGCTTCAAGCGTGTCCATCCCCCAAACATTGCACATCTTAAACAAGGGTTTAGTGTAAGGTAGAAATGGAAAAACTTTCAGGGGAAAAAAAAAACACTTTGACATTTTCTCTCCAAAAGCTATATTCAATATTCGTAGGTAAAAACTCAATATAGGACAGTTGGGAGTGGTGGCATGTGCCTGTAGTTCCAGCTACTTGGGAGGCTGAGGCAGGAGGATCCCTTGAGCCCAGGAGTTTGAGGCCAGCCTGGGTAACCTGGCAGGACCCTATCTCTTAAAAAAAAAAAAAAAAAAAATTACATTAAAAAAAACAACAACAATGAAAATGAGATTTGGTCAGAATGAAGTTGCAATATATAAAATTGAATAACTACTAGGTCAAATTTAAACTCTAAACAATCGCTAAATGTCTATTAAATGGCTAAAAAATACCTTCCTTCTCTTCATATTTTTATAGTTTTGCTCTTAAAATGGGCATGCACACATGCCAGTTTGGTGTGTCTGAGACAGCATGTTTTAAGCCAGGCATTGTGAATCTCTTGGATCTCCAAACAAGCAAAAAAGGGAGTTGGGGCAAGGAGAGACCAACAATGACAGGTGAGTGTTTTTCTTTGACAGGGAGGGACAAAAGCTTTCTATTCTCACTTCTGTTGCATGACCAAAATGACATTTAGGGTTTTTTTTTGTTTGTTTGTTTGTTTTTTAGAAAAAAGGAATAAAGGAATAATGGAGTGTAATATCTTTAGCTTTTTGAAAATTTCAAACATGGCCCACTTGCTATTATTTCCCATAGCCTGGGAGAAAATTAACGATGAAGGGAAACAGTGCAGTGGGCTGGGGGCAGAGATCTGAGCTCATAAGGTGACTAAATGGGATGAAACTTGTAAAATTCCTGTCCCCACAGTGCTAGGCACATGTTAAACACTGAGTATACACTATATCTCATCAGAAAGTAAAAGAACTAATAAGAAAAGCAGCAAACCACAGGTTTGACAGATAAAGAAACTTTATAAAACAGAAAAGGTACAGAAATTCATTATTAAACCGAAGTTTGTGGGAAATCTTGGATAAACCTTCCTATCTCCTGATTCCCAAGATAAGTTTTTTTTGTTATTACACTCCACTGACTCTCAAGCATCTGTATGTGTTATTTCTTCTCAGTGTGGAAGACAGATTTGTATCTCAAATGCCACATTAATCACCCTGTGTCATAGACAATTAATGCCAAATGTCCCCAAATCCTACCTGTTTTGGGAAAGAAAAAAAAAAAGCCTCTGGGTTTGATCTTTTTTTGTCTCAATCTCTTCGAAAACATAAAACATGTAGTGTCATTTGGGAAAATTTCAGGAGTGGCAGATATCCCTCTGTATATCTCAAAATGATTTGTATTTATTTACTAAAAACATAAATATAAAGCTTCATTTTTTAGAACCTTTTACAATTTACTTCAAGCTAAAACCCTTAGTCTGTTTCATCAGTAGTCATTAAGTTCTTCATGGTTCTCTAGGAGCAACGACTAGCCTCTTTCCCTAAATAAAAGTTGAAGAGTTAAAAAAAAAAAAAAAAAAAAAAAAAACTTAAAGTGTAAATTTCTTTAGAAATGGAAAAAAAAAACTAAACAGCTGATGTACCTGACCGTCTACAAGCATAGGTCCTAATGTTCTGGGATCTCTTCTAAAACTAGGAAAAGAGTTAAAATGTTAATTCTCAGTATTTCCTAGCATGATGTAACAGAAAAATGTCATTTTTGTTCGTGTTTTTAAACAGTGAATGGCAAGGGAGGAAAGTATGCTGAGAAGAGGCTTAATGGTAAACAGGGAAATTTATTTATTTATTTATTTTTTTGAGACAGTGTCTCACTCTGTCACCTGGGCTAGAGTGCCATGGCATCAGCCTAGCTCACAGCAACCTCGAACTCCTGGGCTCAAGCGATCCTCCTGCCTCAGCCTCCCGAGGAGCTGGGACTACAGGCATGCGCCACCATAACTAGCTAAGTTTTTGTATATATTTTTAAGTTGGCCAATTAAATTTCTTTCTATTTTTAGTAGAGACGGGGGTCTCACTTTTGCTCAGGCTGGTTTCGAACCCCTGACCTTGAGTGATCCTCCCGCCTCGGCCTCCCAGAGTGCTAGGATTACAGGTGTGAGCCTCTGTGCCCGGCCCAAATATCAGATTTAAAACATGCTGCAAAATCTCCGCTCTAGCTATGTGGTCACCTCTCTCCTGCTACTCTACCTGCCGACAGCTCCCATCTGAGCATGCAGTAGGCGTGCCATTAATGTGTTGCCTAATTTATAATCTTTAATCGTTAGAGGAAGACAGTGGTTGCCTCAGGCGAGGAATCCTGGGTTCTGTGCAGAGAAGACAGGCATGGGGGGTTGTGGAAGAAGCCTACGGGCCTATACTATATTCCAAAATATGCATTAGGAAAGGAAACCAGCAATGGTGGTGGACAGGCCCCACTGGAGTGCATTCAGAAAGGCCAAAACTATACTTGGCTTCGGTTGATAAAGATATCAGACAATTCAATTCCATCCTTACTCTTAACTCCTTTATTGGGATTTAGGAGGTGAGGAAGGGATATTGGAATGTGTGATATGGAGACATCTATCAGATAACCGAAAGGTAATTGTCCATCTAATGATAGGAACTGAGATTGCAATGTCTGGACTTAACTCTCTTTGTCCCCCAACATCTCAGATACACACAAGGAAGGGTTTTGAATGTCCATCAAATGCCAAAAAACCAGTTCCTTATAGAGGTCAAACACACTCAAGCCCTACCACCTCTCCTCCCCTTTCCTCTCCCACCCTAGGTTGTTTTCTTGGTAGGTAATCTGAATAAACATCTGTCTTCCAATTTAAGTTATATCTTTAAGCTCTATAATTATTTGTCATAGTCATTTGGCATGTCCTAAAGAGCAGAGGCCCCATGTCTGGCTACCTCAGAGTGCTCTTGCCCATGGCAGGCAAAGAATACCTTTGAACGAAAGAAAGAAAAGGCCATCTGCATTGAACTCTCTTAATGGCATAATTTAAACAGAAATTTAAAAAATCTCTGTGTATAGACAGGCCATAAAACGAGAGTTTACCACTAATCTGGGAGATACATTACAATTTTGTTAAGCAAATTAATTTTGTAATTATTAGCACGCTTACCTAAATGGAAAAGGCCTTTAGCACCTACATTTAAAACCAACCAAACATGCCAATGACTAGGGTCATTCATATGCTGATTACTACAAAGTGTCCAGGTACTCAAAACATGACAGCTCTGCCCCTTCTTCCCTAAGCCCTTGTGTCCTAGCACTTTTTTGACAAAACTTTCAACTACATTTCCATTCTTAGATTCTCCAGTAAATCAATCTTACCTGGTTCCCGAATAATGGGAGAGAAAACTGACCCTTGTGTATTAATCTTCGAGGGCCAAAAAATAGTAATTAAAGATGATTACAAACTGTAGGGCCACCAAGAATACAGGAAGAAAAGGAGAGCGCAAAACCCTACCGTGAGTACACACGGCCAAGGGGGAGGGCGGGAGGGAGAGAAGTAGAAAGGGGGGGAAGGACATTCTGTTTGCTCCTCTTCTGGCCCGATTGTGGGGGGGAGGTGTAGAGGGGGAGGTGAGACAAGGTCAGCCAGAAAGAACACATGGAGAAGGGTTGGGATGTCAGAAATAACTCTAAACCAGTCTGTGCGGTGTAGTAGGCAACCTACCTATTGGTGTCACCTTATAAAATCATATACAGAAAATAAAGACAGAATGCTGGTTACTGTCTGGGAGGGACAGGAAGGCGGTGTGCCGACAGGGCTATATCTCGCAAACATTTTTATTTTTCTTTTCCAAAAGAGGAAGAGAGACAGGAAAATAAGAGGTGTATTTAACGTTGTGAAATTGAAAATGTTGCATGGTATCTCTCTAGTGGGGTATGTTCTATAATCGTTATTATATAATAGACACTATATTATTATCTAACATATACTCTTATTAAATGTAGGAGTAGAAAGAAGTAGGAAGGTCAGGAACTAGGAAAGATGTAAACTGGTTAATGATAAGGGGTAGGTTACAGGCAATGAAGAGCAGAAGACCCAAATGATCTAAATAAACTGGACAAAGGCACGAAAATGTGAGTTTCTACCAAGGAGACTGAAACGTTTCCGCAAAATTGGGTCTACAGCACCAGACAAAGGTAATTTGCTTCGCTCTTCCACGGAGAAGGCGTGTGAATATTTGCACAAAAGCCGAGCCTGGAAGAAGATGGCTAGAAGACTCAGCAATAATTTTACATCTCTGTATCTGCCAGACAGCCTAAATAACATGGCTTTGTCCACTGTTAAAGCCAATGAGAGATACAGACCTAAGTAGAACCAGAAAAAAATAAAAATTAAAATTTGAAGACAATAAAATAAATTAAGGGATATCAGGTACATTCCTCTCTAGGAAAAATATCTCTCTTTGTTTTCGAATAATACTTTAATGGGTATTTTTCTTCTACAAACATTAGGGACGGTGGGGCTGGAATAGGATAAAATTAAAATATCTACAATTTTCTGAATAAGAAAGGAACAGAAACTTGACAGTCAGGGAGAAAGTGGGGAAACCAGGTAGGGAGAAAGGGGTTCTCCTGTTTTGGGCTAGGGTCATGATAAGATGTTAAGCCCTGTAGAAAAAAAAAAAAAAAAAAAAAAAGGAAAAATGTCCTGGTGGCATGAATTTTAGGACTAAATTTTATGCAATAACTTCCAATGGTAAGGCTCTTCCTTCTGCAGTAAAGAAGTCTTCCTTGAGCTGGTGGCATTTGGGGAACAGAAGAACTGGGAGTGACAACATGTGAAAAAGGAACAAGCACGTGGGAGGGTAAGGATGATAC